CATGGAGAAGGGCTAAATAGTTTTTGAAAGCACAGAGGGATCCTGGAGTTCAGGATCATCAGAGGACAAGGCTGGGAACAGTTACTCTACCAGTGTATTTTGTAACATACTGTATGTTGCAATAAGTCCACTCCATTCCTGTGAGTGACAGGCCTTGCTCCTAAATCAGTTTATAAGAGTCCCTGGTGGAGATAGTGACTCTAGTTTCACTCACAGCTCCTGGCATAAAACTATGCTTCTTCACGACTATTTCTATCATTCAGAAAATGTGTTGGCCACAGCATTACGCAGTAGCGCAGTAATGGCTAATCCCTCTGCGGCATAAGCCATTATAAGAAGGGCATTTAGAATAGGGGTAAAGCTAGGGTAAGTTTTAAGGCTCTGACCTGTATTATACAATAGCCAGTCCGGTATTTAAAGTAAGAAGTGGGTCTGTGGAGTACTAGGAACACATTCGGAGTCCCAAACAAGAATAAGCCTTGCCCCAACATTAAAAAAATAGGTTCATTGGAGGCTGGGACAGTAATGCAAAGATTGAAAACCCTAGAGGGACATGGTGCAAGGGATATAATAGGTAAAAATTGTATATTCCAGCTTCTTTTTTTAATGTGTAAAGACGGGGAACTTGGGTTGCATTGCTATATGCTTTGGTTAGGCTAGGTTCTGAGAACAGAGAAAATGTGGTGAACAATGGGGAAAGTTTGCTTTTTTCTTTGATATCTGATTAGTGATACTTTGAGGCAGGAACTGAGAATAGGACATTGATATTGGGTTTGGACTCTTGAAAGCAGCATGTCTGCAGGGTGTTTCTTGCATCTTCTCTGTGCCCAAGTAAAGCAGGATAAATGTAGACTATATTTATGCTCCCTATCATTGATTTCTTCAAGGCCTTGCCCTCTCACTTCTACTTGGCAAAGGAGCAACTGGGGTGTTAAAAGCAGACCCTGGTGCCAGAAGAAAGGGCAACAGCATCCAAGAATATGGAATCAGCTAGAATAGATTCAGGTTAGAGCAGTTCTCCAGTTTTAACTACTATACCTGATACATACCCCCCTTCTCTCAGTGCTGCCTAAGGGATGTTATAAGGAAGGTGCTTACTACTCACCTGTCCTAATTAGAGATTTCTGGGGTAAAGGAGTGGGCCGGGCTGGGCCGGGCCGGGCCGGGCCAGGCCAGGCCAGCTCAGTTCAGTTCAGTTCAGCTGTAGGAAATTAAGCACACTTCCAGGGTTAGACTCTCTAGGAAGTGGGATCACTCTCCCCTGAGTGTGGTGAGCTGTGGGTAAAGCAGGCTTTATTTGAGTCCTTTCTCTTAGACTTGCACCATTGGAAAGCTGCTGTATTTGTGGTGAAAGCTAGAGCAGAACAATGCTTTTTCACCACTGCATTTCTGTTGGAGTATACATATTCAAACACTTGAATCTGCCCCAAGGAGGAGGGAAGGTAAACCCTTGAGAGAGGTGCTTCCCTTTCCTATGTGTTCTTGCACCATGCTTTGGACCTTTCAGTACTGATTAATTCAAATATTAACTGAGTCTGAGGCATGAGTAACAGCTGAAAGGACTCTGTTACTTGGAGCACGTTCTGTGCTGTGTAGAAGCAGAGGGAAGAGATGAGATGCTGTCTGGTGGATGGATGTTTGAGATCTGTGGTAGTGAGGAATTTGCCTCTAGATGTCTGTGTCCTCCTGGGTATATTTTCCCTGGTTTGGTTTGGGTGCTGTTTCTCAGTTCTGTAGATCTGGTGGTATTACTGTTGTGAAGCTGGGTGCCCAAGTCTATTCACTGCTGGTTCCAAAGCTGCAGTACATACAGCCATTTCAAATGGAAGTTTTACTCATTACAAGTCCAGACATCACCCATCATCATGACTCAAGTGCCTTGGCATACTATGAATATAAACTCCCCTCATGTCAGGGGGGTTTATACTTTGTGACTGAGGAGTGCTGCCGGCTGAAGGAAAATGGCTTGTCAAAGGTGCACCCGTTTCTAATTTCTCTGATACCAGAGGACTCTTCTGCAGGTAGGAGAGACTGTCTGTCTACCTCTGCTTTAGGAAGAGCCTCAGGTGCAGTCTGCTGCTGTAAATCCATTTTGCCAGAACTCCTGCTCTGCCATGCTCAAGACATCTCCTCTGTTATCTTTCAGGGTTCCTTTTCTTTGCTTTGTCTGTCACAAAATGTCTAGAACTGAATTCATCAGACAAGAGATGCCTTGTGGAAACTGATAGTGGGCATTTAGTGGCTCCATTAATTATGTTACAGTGGACTCTTCTGAGCTGATGATGTCAGAAGTCACTGCCTAATGTAACTTTTTTTAAACCAGGTTTCTCACTGGAACCACTGTTTCCACAAACTTGTCAGTGTGGCACACTGTAGCCATAATACAACCAGCTCAGTCTGGCAGAGCAAGTTCCCACTATATAACAGTACAAACTGTTTCCCTGCCCTCCCCATGTCTAGCAGTGATAGGGAGATGGAGGGAAGCCAGTTGGCTTTGATTCAGTCCAGATAAGGTGGAGGTGATTCTTGCTGGCAGGGAGACGCAGTTGGAGAAACTGTTGGAGACCATGGTAGTGTTCTGTTGTGAGTATTTGCCTTTCTATCGTCTACGTGATTTCTTAATCTCAGGGCCTCAGTAAACTTCTTTCTGCTCTTGAAGATGCCCATACAACAGCAGTGGCTGGAAATATCCATTCATTTATCCAGCTAGCTATACAGCTGCCTTTCTTTTTAGGCATGAACTTTACCACGCTTCTCCAAACCTGTCACCTCAAGTCTAGACCCATTGGGAAGTTCCCTAGTTCCAGCTGTCATCTGCTCAACTCCCTTGAGGTCTAGATGTGAACAAATCCTAAAGGTTCAGGAGATCTATCTGGCTCTTGTGTGAGAAGGATCTCACTAGGTGCCTATCTACATCTTGAGGCTTTTAAAATCTAGCTCCCAAAACCTTGAATGGCCTAAGGCCAATTATCTCAGAATCCATACGTCCCTCTGCCCCAAAATGGCATCTGAATTCATTAGGGCTTCTTCAGATAAGTGGAGTATTTAGGGCATTTTCAGTGGTGGCCCTCCCCCTGGGAATTCAGTCTTGAGGAAAACATGCCAAAAACTGGACATGAACCAGGCAATCGTTTCCCCTGGTTAGAGTCCCAGGTTAGTGACCCAGGATTTCTAAGCACCAGTTACAAGATAAGGTTCTCAAGGTGCTGAGATTAATTCTATCAGTTATGTAGCCAAGTCAAAAGTGAGTGGCAGTTTAATTCATTAAACTGGGTAAGGTGAATGGCCCCTGTACAACAATTTATACAAAGGTCTGAGG